TTCTAACACTACAGCCAAAACTCTTCTTTTATGCGGGAGCATACCCCATTAATATTCTGTCTTTGGCTGTTGATGCATCTGGGTTTAGACAGGATTTAATCTGCTTTCAGAGGCGTCAAGCGTGAGATTGTGTGTGACAGCTCCACACGGTTAGAGATTGGATTGACTCACTGTCACAAATCCCACTTGGTTAAACACTGGCAGAGCAGAAGATGATTTGCCCCCATAACTTTTTAAACTTAGAAATATGATATATGTATGCTGACTTGTGTCGTTTCAGGCAACATGTGGGCACAGACGTGGTCTGGCATAATGGATTTGGTCATGCCCTTTCCAAGTGCAACACAAGTTGACGCCACGCCAGCTATGGTGGCAAAGGTGAATGAACACATAAACCAGCTGTTACATCTGCACACATGAATACACAGACACACACAAAAAACACACACTCATACTTCATACACCACTCACATTGCAGCTTTAGAAGGGCCAGCATCAGTTATTTTCAGTAAAAATAAGACTTGGATGTGGGCCAAAGTGGAGGCTCAAACAGAATGATGAATACAGAGGATAAATGATGATAAACACTGAGGATTTTAACTGCACTAAATTAAAGCAGCAAAAAGCAGCAGTCATCCATAACTACGTGAAGTGCACATAATGCATGAAGATGTTAAATACTGTACATATTTTTGAGGGGACCATATGTTTCCTTCTGTCCTTTTAGACGTTAAATTTGTTTACACTCTGTGTAGTCATCTATTTTATAGATGTAGCTGTTGCTTTCTCCACATGTGGAATATCTCACTGTCTGACAAACTTGCCACAAACATCTTCACTGATGTTCTATTTTATCTCCGCACAGAACTGGAACGCCACCGTAATGTTCCAGGAGTCGGACAGGTTTTTCACCTCTCTCGGGTTGAAGCCAATGCCAGAGGAGTTCTGGAAGAAGTCCATGCTAGTGAAGCCGTCTGACGGACGCCAGGTGGTGTGCCATGCCTCGGCATGGGACTTCTACAACCGAAAAGACTTCAGGTTAATCCTCAGTTTCCATTGTACTGAACCTAACTGATTGGTAGTTTATCATTGGTGCTCTGACAGTTTTATTGATTTTCTTGGATTTGATAAGTGATAAATGTATTACTTGGTATTCAGTAGCATTAAATGTATGGAAGCCAGCAAGGTGTAAGATGTCTGGGTTCTTTGCTGTAATTATTATCTTGTCTCCAGGATCAAACAGTGCACTGTTGTGACTATGGATGACCTGATCACGGTGCACCATGAGATGGGCCACGTCCAGTACTTCCTGCAGTACAAAGACCAGCCTGTGTCCTTCCGTGATGGAGCCAACCCCGGATTCCATGAGGCCATCGGTGATGTACTGGCCCTTTCTGTGTCCACGCCCAAACATTTGCAGAGCATCGGCCTCTTGGACAAAGTTGAGGCCAACGTCGGTGGGTGACCCTGACCATGACTACGACTCGGTTTTGTAGAAGCATGTAGTGTTATAACAGTATTCAGCTCATGGTTTCTGTGTTTCTGTCCCTTCCTCCAGAGAGTGATATTAACTTCCTGATGAGCATGGCGCTTGACAAGATCGCCTTCCTACCTTTTGGCTACCTGATGGACCAGTGGAGATGGAAGGTATTTGATGGACGCATCCCACAGGACGAGTACAATAAAGAGTGGTGGAACCTCAGGTAAAGTTCATCAGCACTTTTATGATTACCATGTCTAATATTTATTATTTAAAGTTAATGAGTAAGTGATTCATTGTATAATAATTCCTTGAATTTGTAAACGATTTTACTGAAATAACAATCAGATTAAACTCTTCTTCTTCTTTGCATTGCAGAATGAAATACCAGGGACTGTGTCCACCTGTAGTCCGCACTGAGGATGACTTCGACCCCGGTGCAAAGTTCCACATCCCTGCTAATGTGCCTTACGTCAGGTAAATTTTCCTGATTTGGCAGAACAAACAGCTTTCCTGATAATTGAGCACAGACAGCCTGTTAATTTCGTCGACACACTCTAATCAACTATGGGTAGATAAGATAAATATGTAGCAGAACATAATGTGCACTTAGTCATGTGGCTGTAAAAATAATCATTTGCCATTAAGTATCAGCTTGTTTTATCTGCCGGCATTGAAGCCAAGTTATGACAGTTTGTCTCTGTTGATCTTCAATCAGGTACTTTGTCAGCTTCATCGTCCAATTCCAGTTCCACAAGGCTCTGTGTGAGGCTGCTAACCATGTTGGGCCTCTCCATACCTGCGATATCTACAAATCTACAGACGCTGGGAAGCTGCTGGGGTTAGTACACACACACCTACCAAAACACTAATAGTCTTTACACAAAAAAATATATATTTTATGTAACATCCACAACTCATGATGCATTTGTGACATGAAAAACATCACAACAATAAAATCTCAACTCTCTTCAACATTAAAAATGATTTCCAGTACATATATATATATACAGGAAATATATATACTGGAAATGACCGAGGAAACAATCTATGTTTTTTATTTATTTTTTGGTCAATAAAGAACAGACATGGTTGTAACACTAACAGCAGAAAGATTATAGTGTCTGTAAGTGCAGGCAGCGGGTGAAAACATGCTTCATGCCATGTGTGTAATTATCTCTACAACACACTCTTGCTACTGATCCTCGTCTCCCCTGACCTCCTCTCTGACCTGTGTTGTTGTCTGCAGTGACGTGATGAAGCTGGGCTTCAGTAAGCCCTGGCCCGAGGCGATGACCATGATCACCGGCCAGCCCAAAATGAGTGCCCAGCCACTCATGCAGTATTTCCAACCTCTCATTGACTGGCTTGAGAAAGAGAACAACAAGAACAACGATATCCGCGGGTGGCCTGAGTACGACTGGAAACCTTCAAGTACGTCCAATACATTCGAGACATCCACATACTTTAATACAGACACATGCATGTAGGCAAGGCTATTCGTTGGAGGTTTGTGTTCAATACATTTTCCAATCTTCAAGCCAAATGTTTTTTGAACTCCTTCCTAGAAAGAAAATGCACATTAGCTTCTCACAGGGGCATTCATTTTGTTTTTCTCCTCTGCTGCGTCTTACAGTGAAATTAATCTCCTGCTCCTCTTGTTTTACTGATGAGATCCTGCTGAAAGGATGTATACAAATTAGATTGATGAGGGTCTTAGTGAGAGAGTGAGAGAGAGAGCCTGGAAGAGATAGTGAGAAAACGAGAACGGAGCTGTTGTTGGTGAGATCAAGAAAGAAATATAGACTTCAGATGTAAAAATGAATTAATAAGGGTGGAAATAATATAAAGGAGGAAAAAGAAGGTGACGTTTTGTTTCTTTACACTAAAAGGGAGCCCTACCTTTGTGATGTGGAATTAATAACAGCACAGAAACTTTTTAGACAGATATTTTAAGATTATTTTGTGAGCGTCAGCATCAACAGTTTTATGCAATGAGCCTCATATTTAGAGATTTGAGATTTAGACAAGTTAATTTCTAACGCCATCTGTAGGTAGAAAGAGTAATATCTTGTGTCAATTTTATACTTTTATCAGACAATAAGTATTCCAACTTGCACTTTTTATGTTTTTAGCTGCTGTTCATTTGTTTGAGGTTTTACATCATAAAGCTACAAAAGTGTTTTCTGTTGAAGAGTACAGAAGTCATATTAGTCTGAGTGGCATTGTGTGTCCTCTATCCTCCTCCTGGTACTTTGCAGACAAAGTGGGGACAAAATGTAAAAAAAAAAAAAAAATGGCGGTGTGATGCATAGGCCAGAAGAAAAGATCAGAGAAAGTTTGTTTTTCATTGTGGGTTCTTTGGTGTTGAATATTTGGATTATAAACTTGGGTTTTACTGAAGTGATTTACGTGTTGGTATCTGGCACTGTGAAGCTTACGTCATTGTCATGTTAAAAAAAAAGAAGAAAATAAGCCACAGACTGAATTTTATGTCATATCCACTGATGTTCAGTTCTCATAAATAAAATTATTTAGCTGACAGGTGGTGGAGTTCAAAACGTAAAAACCTCAAAACACACACACACACACATTGATGTGTAGATGTAATACTCATTGCCTGTAGGTGGCACATGTGTGAAATTGCAGCATTTGTTTTCTCTCCAGTAGGTGGCGATATCAAAAATATCTCCTTCTGCGTTCCTTGTGAATCGTTGTGGCTTTTACTTTCTTTCCACAAATGTGGAACGGCTCTGAAAATGACTGAACAGCTCCCCCTTGTGGAGAAGTTGCAGCTTGCTAATTGTGAATGAGTGAGTTTCTGGGTGAAAAACAATCTTTTTACTCGGTATTTCATGTTTGTGTCCAGCTACAGGTGAAGTTAAAGCTAATAAAGTGGACTTCCTGGGTATGAGTGTGGACAGCTCAGCTGCCTTAGCTGGCCAGTGGGTCCTGTTGGTCATTGGCCTGGTCCTCTTGCTCGCCACCATCCTGTTGGCCTACAAGTACAGGAAGTCAAGAAGGCCTGAAAAGTCCTTATCCACGATGGAGCTCAAGCAAAAGGACTAATCGACAGTGACGGCTAAAGGGCTAAAGTAAGGCCGGACTTACTGTAGCTAACACAGTACCAACCTCAATGTGAACATCAGTGTTTTTGTGTACTGTACTGTACATCTGATCAAATTTGCTTTTCTCTTTGGTCTGCCTCCCTATCTAGTCTTGTATATTTATTGTATACACTTGGAGTCAAATTATTATTTTTTGCCTATGCAAAAAGAACATTGCTATTTTGTAATTTATTTGTTATATTTGAATGTTTAGGGAGACAATGTTTTAAAATGAATGTAAAGTCGTTAATTGTGTAAGCATTTTTGAATATTTTGATTTTGTTCCTTTTTTTTTGTTGAATCCTGCATTTCTACAATAAAGACATTAAATATGTATTCTGCCTTTGTGTTCAAACAAGACATCGTAGCAAACACAGAATGTCTCCTGGTAGTAATTGAACCCCAAAGGCTGTTAAAAACAATTTAATTACTTGAAACTGCACAGTAAAAAACAAAACAGAAAACAACAACACCACCACAGAGAACAGAGTTTGTGCATTGGTTTCAGCCCTTCCCTATTTACTCAGAGTCAATGGAGCCTCTGCAAAGGCCACAGTCACAAGTCACAAGAGTAGCTGTGGGCTCTCAGGTAGCACAAACTAGAGTGCTAACACAACACTTAGTCCCATCAAAGACCGCTCGGCGACTGTCTTCTCCCGATCCACTACATCTTCAGTGCTGCAGGTTGGCCACAATGGCGTGGAAACAATCCAAGTGTCAGCTTACTGTCTCATACAAAAATACAAAGCTTAGGGTCAGTGAAACAACAAAGGCCAATGACATATGCATTCATTCAAATAGTCAATTCAACATAACTTGTCACTATGTACAATATACGACATAATTATCTATGCTGGAGTTTACGATACCAACAAGCCTCCAGACAGATACAGTACCATGTATTCTTTAATCCAGTGTTGTGACTCCCTGTATGCGATATAATTAACGATATTCAGACAGGTTCTTTACTGTAATAACACAGGACAGTGTAATAAATAATAATCAAGTGTGCTCCCATGATCATCATCATCAAATCCTGGGTAATTCTACATACAAACAAGAACCTACTTTTCAACTTGTTGCAGGGTTGCTCAGGCGACTCTTGCCATGGAATTTAATGTAGGCAATTAAAATATTTCATTCACCAGTGAGAGCCACTTTTTTCTCTGTACCTGTCTGTATTTTGTCAGGGAAGTAATATTTCTACATAGCTTGAAAATCACAAAGTCAGGTTCTGCATACGAGAGCCACAACCACGCACCGACATGCACATCACGTAAAGACACATCTTCACTCGTCACAGAGCGGATTCTGGTCAACATATTTTAAGTGCAGCTGGAAAATGACCTCCAAAAACGACAGATGTAGGTTTTTAAACCTTTACATAGCCTACACCAGCTGACCACAAAGTGATGCCTGGAGACAGAGCAGGAAGGGCATATACAATCACAGAGAAAATCAATGGACTCATTCTTCTGATTAGAGAGGAGAAACAGACATGGTGGCAATAAAACATGACGAATGGCCAGTAGATTTGCTTAGAGGATTCAGAAAGAACAAAATGGAAAGGAATGAGAGAATACATGCAAACACTGAGTAAAAACCTGCAACGTAATCAAAAACAATTTTACAAATTACTCTTGAATGCAACCCCAATTCCAATGTACAACACTGCATTCTTCAAAAATACTTAACAAATTACAATCTCTGAAACAAAAAAAAAAAGTTCAGTATATTGCACTGAAAGAGTTGATGAAATGCACTAAAAGATAAAGAAGTTTCAAATTGAATGCTTTATCCACAGTTGGTCCATGCACTGCAAAGTCCATGCGGCTCGACCGAACCCAGTGCTCTTTGTTTGTCCCGTGCCAGTGTGACAGTGAGTGGTTCAGGGTTCAAGGTAAAGGCCTCAGTAGTAGTAATGCTGCATCTCTGTCCAGCTGGTGATCCAATACTTTTTCTGTGGCTCCTCAGGCTGAAATCCCAGATTGAACTGATAGCGCTCAGCCTTGCGAATTTTCACCCCCTGGTGCTTTGGCATTATCCGGTAGTAGATTGCTCGCTTAAAGAATCCAAGCTGGAGGGAAAAGGGAGAGAGGGAGGTGACATTAAACAGGATGCACTGAAGTGGCAGGGGAGCTGGGACAGTTGACAGGTCGAGAAGAAGATTTTAGGATTCAGAGGCTGAGGAAAATCAGGTTAGGTAACAGAGAAAGCCACAATATCCTACTGAGTAAGATGGAAAAGATGGATGAAGTAGTGAAAACAAAAGTGATAGAAAGCGATCAGCAGCGCCATGCACAGTATTAGCCTGAAAGGGAAACAGAATAAATGTTAGTTACAGTAACTACAAGAAGCTAGTGTAAAGTGAAGAGACAGAAAGTGAAGCGGTAAGTTAAGTGACACCCCAAGCTTAGTGCTGTCATTAAAAGAGTCCATAGAAAATCCATTTGAAGGGGTGTTTTTACCCATAAGCCCCACTGGTGTGTGCTGTCTGGGGACCCATGGGGGCCTCAGTAGTCCTCAGTCAGCCTCTCTGTCTCAGAGGGCTGGATCTTCATCTCAGCCTTCTGGGCCTTGGCCTCATACATCTCCCTCCTGCTGGCCCTCTGGAAGAAGCCACACTGGGGACGGACGAGGAGGAGGAGGAGGAGGGTGCATGTGGAGGGAGGGGTAGGTCAAAGGTTAGACTAATGGCTTGATATGGAGTTTGTAGACGTGAGATGAATGCGTCAGCAGCTATCATATAACCCAAACAGGATGTTTGTACATACGGAGAGATTCGGAGAAAGTCTGTGTCTGCAGATTCACGACATGTCTGTGTACAAGAGCGATGATTTGTATTCTCACCTTCCATAGTATAAGAATAATGATTCCTAGTAGTACAATTCCAGCTACTGCTGCTGAGATGATGATCCACAGCGGGAGCTCATAGGGCGTCTCCACTCCCTCCACTGGTTTTATTTCTACTTTGAACTACAAGAAAGGTGGAGACAGTCAGGTAAAGTCATCGCTATCATCTTCGTAATCATTGTCATCACCATTTACCCACCGTGGTGGTCTGACTGTCCATCCTGATGGTTGGTTTATCTGTAATGAGCTTCAGTGTGGCTTCACCTTTGACCATAACTTCAGCGTTGCTGTAGTCCTGCAGGAACACACACACACACACACACACACACACACACACACACACACACACACACACACACAAACAACATCAGAACATTTTCACATAGAAGTAAAAGGTTGCAACCTTGGAAAATACTATTGAATTACAAGGTCTCTGCCCAGTTTTTGTGTGTGTGTGTGTGTGTGTGTGTGTGTGTGTGTGTGTGTGTGTGTGTGTGCCCGTGTGTGGCTGCAGCTGGTGAACAAACCTCGAGCATTGTACTGTTCCACAAACGGGACCGGACATAAATCTTGGCTGAATCCGTCATGTTGAGCAGTGGGCAGCGAAACTTCACGCATCTCGCTGTCCCCTTGGAGCATTCCTTCAACACACGATGAACACCAACTGAACAAACGTGGACAACTACAGTATTTTGCTTTTGTGGATTTTTTCTTTTTAGGTTGTACAGAAGCTGAATAAGCAGTATTCAGTGCAATAAATCCTTGATACTGTAACTTCTACAGCCTAGGAGCACTGACAGTAAAAGCCAGTTCTGCTGTTACAGGAGTTCAAGGGAGACTATACTATGCTATAGGACATGTGGAGTGAAAGTAGGCCATTGCTGGTGGTATTGAGACAACATGTCTCAACAAATATTGGACGGATTACCATCCAATAATCAAAACATGTAAATTTATCTGCATGTTTCCTTATTATCTACTGTACCATTCAGTTGTAAAATTGCAACAAGTTCTTATTTATTTATCGTGATTACGCTCAGTGTACAATAACGTAACATCACTGTTCATAATGTACTTGGGACATATATGGATATTGTAGTGTCTGTAGTGTCGTTCTGTGTGTCTGCTGAGGGGGAGAGGTCTAACGTGAAGATCTCACCCTGATGATCAAATGTATTAACTTCCAATGACGCGTGAAAGCTTTTCACGAGAGCGCTCAGGCAGATCCTTTTCTTACCAACAGGTAGCTCTCTCTTCGGTGAGTGACCAGTGTGATGGCCGCCTGTGGCTCAATGATTTGTGACGGGGTCATATCAAGAGCATCATCCCCCACGATCTGCCGTTTAGTACGCCTCGGCCCGCTCCCTGACAACTGGAAGGCGAGAGGGAGAGAGAGGGAGAGAGAGGGGGGAAAATGAATGAAGGAAACAGAGGAGACGGAGACATTACATCACAGGGTTAGTAGTAATTACTGGTTTTGATAAAGACATTACCAAATTCTTCTTAGAATAGCATTGTCATTTTCACCGTCTATATGTAGGCCACACGCATTATGATTTTCTATTTGGGGCTCTGTGAGGTTTGAATGTGGCGACACAGATGTTTTTTCCAAAATGTATTTCTGAACAGCTGTGGTTTGGCTCTCAGACCATTTTCACACCACTTTTCTAACACTGACGTTTTACTCCAACTGCTCAGACTGCTTCACTTCACTCAATTACAACCTATGTCACAAGTCTGTACACAGCACAATACACTCAGCGTCAGTTGAGTACAGTCAGTTTTGCTTAGTGTCAGTGCACTTCAGAGAAATTCCTCAAGTGCTCTATTACATTTCCCAAAGGTACCTGAGAAATCAACACTGTCACGCTGTTTTTAGCCGTGCTGCTTTGCTCTAGAGACGGGAACATCTGATATTCCCCTCAGACTCTGCTGTACGGTGTGCTGAGCGTTAATTAGCGGAAGCTACTGCGCTAACATGCTAAAAAATTTTACCTGCTGTGTCATTGTGAGCTTGTTACCATGCTGACGTTAGCAACTACTTCAAAGCACCATTGTGCTTTAGTGCAACCTCACAGAGCTGCTAGCTGTACACTCTCACTGTTGTTCTTTGTCCAAGGCCTTTCATTAGAGCCTCTACCTCTGTTTATTTGCAACCAAGTTTGTGGCTTTTTCAGAAATGGGACATTTTTGGGATGTGCGTATTTCAGGGGTGTGGGCGCTTTCAGGACGTTGTACAGCATGGAAGAACAGAGAACAGAGATAGGAAAGATTGCAAGAAAAACAGGACACGCATCAAAGGTCCCAGGCTGAATATCAACCCAGTCACCTTTTCATGTGGTTTTCCATCTGAATCACTGACACTGATTTGTGCATTATAATCTGTATCTTTAAGCACTTATTTTGGGTTCACAGGTTACCTCAGTTCATGGGCGTAGGTTTGCATATTATATTTTGGGAGGACATAATTGTCACTACTAATATTTGAGTGAACTCGTTGTGTCTCTACCAGTGTTGAGACCAAACCTACGCCCTTGCCTCAGTTTCAATCTGCACACTGTAAGTGGAGTGACGCACATGAAGAAAAGTGCGTATTGAGGGTCTAAACCAAAGCTTAAAACAGAGCCTTACAGTCAGGTTAAGCATGTTGATGACTGGTTCAGGAGGTCTACATTCCGTCTCTGATTCCCCCGCAACGACGACCTTCGTCAGGTACAACAGCCACTTGCCGTTGGCTACCTCAAAGGGCCACTCAAACTCCACAGCCAGGGTGCCCAAGTCTCCCAGGGGCTGACCTCTCATGTTCACCTGGTGGAGAGTCAGACGGTCAGCAGCACAGAAAAAGGAACTTCAGCTGAAATCAAACCGATAGTGTGAAATAACAATATGGTGTAAAATAACAGTCAGAGCTGCACTGTAACTTTGCGACTCCTAAATAGAATCCACCCCATGGTCATGCTTACACCACAAACCATGGCTCACATAACAATCCTTTCCCCACGCAATATTAAACTTCTGAAGAATAAAAGCGTTGGCTCCAAAGACTGGGTGGGGATGAGGGAAATGTGGGTGAGCAGCACACATACTGTAGATGCAATATACAGTCGTGGAGGTCTAATATAGCCTGCGTGGTGAAGGTGACTCACATTGAAGGTGAACTCCACCAGACTGCCCACGTCACTGGTGTTTACCATGGCTGACTCGCCCATCACTGTCCCACCGAAGTTTGTTTGCACCAAGGCGTTTTCTCTGCACAAGGGTGAGAGCGAGAAATGAATGTACACTGTGCGGCTGTGGAAGATAATGTGATGTGACATTCAGTTCCGCGGTGTCCGTGGCATTTCTGTGCTCTTTACTGTATATACACCACGTCACGGGTTATTAGATAATGGGACTCACATGGAAAAGGAAGGGAGGATGGTATTTTCAATCAGCAGGCCCACTGGCACCGGCTTCAGGTCAAACTGTTCACTAACACTAAAGGAACAAACGTTATTATAGCACTGCACACCAGAATGTATGTCCGCAATAACATTACCCCTGACAATTAAAATGCAACTTTACATTTTGTACTAACAAAAGTTGAAAAGTAAAAGAGAAAAAAAAAAAAAACTATTAGGAACAGCTACAAAATGCTCCACTGCAGAATCAAAACTGAGACCCAAATTTGAACAGACGTCAATAAAAACTAGCCTCTAAAGTGCTGTATCACTTTAAAAATGAACTGGTACAATTTATGGACCCTTTAACCGTAGATACAGTATAAACAATCTCAAGCACTTACGTGGACAGAAGCAGCTGGGACTCGATCTCTTGTGTGTAAAGATTAATCCCTGATGTCTCAAACTTGAGGGAAAGTGACACCTGACAATGAAAGCAACGAAATGAGGAGAATCACAAACCAACCTGGGCAGAGGAGAAAAAAGGTCAAACTCTTTAAAAGACGGCTGTTAACACTCACATTCTCATTGGCTTTAAGCGGATTCCCCAGCTCACAAATCACTGTGTTTTCCAAAGTGCATTGTACATCACGGTCCTAAACACACAGTCAGCATATAGACACAGTGAACAGAGCTATGAGATTTAGCTGTTTAAGAAAGTGGGGATGCATGTGCAAGAAGGAGAAAGCAGTGTGGTGTTTACTGCTCTTGTGGAAATTGAAGTAAAGTTATTTTGTATCTTTATGATAAACAAAATGAACAATCTAATTGTGTAATTCTGTGTTTTCAATAAAAGGATTTAAGATCTGGCAAGAGGCACTAACTAATAAATGGACATTTCTCAGTCATCTGCTGCCCTCCAGTGGACGTACCGTTGACCTGACACCAGAGTATCTCAGTGCCTCAGGGATGGTGATGTTGAGCATGGCTTGATGGGCGTCCTCAGCCACCTTCCCCGCGGAAGGGATGTTAGTCACGTTCACCATCAACTCCACTATCCTCATATTGCTGTTGAACTGAAGAACCTGGAATTTGCCCTGCCTGGACACGCAGAACATGTATTATTTAATTATTATATTTTGATCAGTTACTACGTTCACATGCATTTAGCTTAGCATAAACTCTGAAAACAGGCAGAACAGCTAGCCTGACTATGTCCAAAGGTAATTGTATGGTAAACAAATGAGGTATAATGTGTTACATCCCTCTCTCCATTCTTTATGCTAAGCTAATGCTAACCGGCTGCTGGCAGTAGCTTCATATTATATCGTCGTAACTTCTTGTCTAACTCTTGGCAAGAAAATGAATGAACTTATTTCCCAAAATATTGAGCTAAACCTTTAAATGTTTCATATCGTGTGAAATTTTCTTCTGTAGCAGCTTTAAAAACCATTTACAGCTAATGACGGCGTTGTTTTCAGATTTTCATCTCACCTGGGATACGGCTTTTTATCGCTGTCAACAAACTGGGCTCTCAGCTTCAGGTTACTGCTGCATTTGTTGTCTGAGCCACACTCCTTCTGAAAGTTAATCTGCAGGAAATTGAACAAAAAGGATTATATCATACCTTACAGAGGAACTATCACATATACTGTACATGTGCTTCCTTGTGTAAGTTATTAAAAATGTGGTATATGAATGAGGCGTATGCGCCACACCATACCTCAGTTCTTTGTGTGAGTTTCTGCTCCTGGCTCAGGACTGGGAAGAAGTCCAGGTTCTGGAAGGAGCGTCTGGATTTTGGTTTTGGTTCATGTAAGGATATGTTGAGGAAAAAGACCACGGGTTCCAGTTTGTCCCTCACAGGCTCCTGTAAATTCATTTCAAGAATTTAACACTAGACTTTGGCAACAGCAGCTTTTCAGTGAAAAAATTTACAAACGCATGAACGTACACAGCAAGTAACACATTTCTTTTTTTGTGTATTTGTAGAAACCTTACCATTACAAACAGCTTTAGAGTGTGACATGTGCGTTTGGAAGACGGCAGGCTAAGGAGGCCATTATAGGTGTCACCCTTCTCGAAACGAACTCGTGGACTTCTCCTCTCCATGTCCGCCTTCACTGTGTAATTCAGCGCTTTACAAAGTGCAAACACACACAGTACATTAAATAACGCTGCAGCAGGTGTTAACCTGATAATAAAGCAGTTTCATGTAACATAGAGAATTCACATCAGGATCTGTGAGCGGCCAGCGGCCCAGTGTCTCCACACATTTTAACTATAGATATAGATATTGGTTCAAAGTTGCAGCCTTTATTTATGCAATTTATTCATTTACACATTACAAGTCGTTTAAGAAAAGGAAGCCTGCTTACTGATATTTTTCTTGAAGTCTTTGTTTCCATTGCTCAGAGTGAAAGACATACACAGAGTCACTGTAATGCTGTGAAACACAAAGAGACGTTAACAACCATGAGAAGAAAGTGAATGAGCCAGTTTCAGAAAGAGATGATCTGAGACTGTATCTCACCATGGCGTATTTCCAGGACACTGATTAGGGTCCACAATCTTAGGCATGACTACGAAGTCCTTTGTTAAGTGGATGACTGGTCGAGCTCTGCAAACAGTTATACTAGTTATATCATCATCATCATCATCTTATGAAGGAAGTACACATATCTGTGTACTAAATACAAATCTGTATTTCAACTTTTACCAGGTGAAAACTTGAATGTTATCTTTTCAAAAACTGATCTTTTCTTTTGACTTAATACCATTTTCTGCTTGACCAAAGGTTTATCAACGGATTTTACAACGCCGTAGCTCACAGGACTTTCTTGATATATTAGACATTTACTAATCTTTAACAAAATAAAATTTTTCCCCTTTTATCACACAATAATTACATGTTTTTTCTTAAGCAGGGCAATGCGGTCGTCCAGAGAACCAATTAAGATGTCAGGGTAAGTGTTGTCATCCATGTCCATCCCTCCACTGATGGAGTAGCCGAAGGTACGGAATCCGTTATTGCCCACTGTCTTACCCTCAATCACCTAAAGAGGGCAACAATGATACATGAGAGATCAATACAATAAATGTGGGCCCATTCAGATTATGTCTGAAGAACATTCATGGCGTAAAGTCAGATGTTACCTGACTGGGCCTCTCTGAGACTCCCTGTTTACTTCCCATCCATATGTAGACCTTTCCTGAGTCGTGGAAAGGAGCTCCCACTGCAAAGTCTGCAGACAGTGACAATGGAGTGAAATATCTCAAGGAAATGTGCGAAGACAAGCTGCTGTAAACAAAATCAGTATATGGAATATATCAGCCCTCTAGGTGGCAGCATTGCGTCACCTAATGATGAGTTAATTGCTAGCCAAGGCAGTTTTGTACAGCTTTTCAACTGTCTGAAACGCAACAAGGTCCATTACGTTTCCCTGCTGAGATAACTGTGTCGCAACAATGTATAAAAAAAACAATCATGCAAAGTCCGAACCCAATGCTTCCTCTCTACAACAGCTGCATTCCTTTCCTGAGCAGAGCAGTGAATGCACCACCTTTTAGTTCAGTACATACAGGGTGTAGACAAAGCAATGGAAACACATCATAAACAAAAGAAGTCCCTACATTACCATTTCGTAGACTACATGATTTTGTAGCCACTTCTATCAATGAACCCACAGTCTGGAGTTTTTGAAGCTGTGTTTTCCACTTATGTTGCATTCAGAGTCATACCTTGGAATCCATCTTGGTTGATATCACCAATGGCAGCCACTGCAAACCCAAATCCAGAAGCCGACGGACCCTTCAGTACCACGGTGGCGTTCTTCTGGAAAGATCCATTCTCATTCATGAAGATATACACTGCTCCACCATGATCGTTCATACGGTCAAAGTAAAACGGGGCTCCCACAATCAGGTCATTCCAGCTGTAACAGGCAAAGGAAACATCCAAAACTTTACAAAACATTGTATTCCTTAAAATCCCATAGATCCAGCGGGGTTTGGTATGTAACAAAGTTAAGCTGGTTTAACTCCTGCATTAAAGGAGGCACGTGATTTCACCATGATGTCATGATGAACACCTTATCTGAGCTGCTGAAAGGACAGGTTTTCTTCTCTCACCGCGGCTCATGCATACATCATCATCATGCATTCTCTGCATAACAGGGCTTATCAGAGCTATGGAGTATCTAACCATGAGCTCAAAAGATCAAGATACAGTTACAGTCAATCTATTAAAACATCCACACATAACACTCGTGCTTTTCTTCTTTTCCAGCTGTGAATTTAGACTCTTGAGCAGCTTGTGGTTGAAGTTCGGCATCTGATGGAAGACAGTTTGATTCTAAATTAATGGGATGCCATCTGCAATATGTTTTGGTCCTCTGCACTGCAGCTTGATGCAATTATCTTTCCTATAGTTGTAGGATAGTGTTTAGATTTCCTAATTGTACTCTATAAAAAAAAGAGAAGGCTAAAACAGAACCAGGTTTTACTGATCAATTGTGTAGAAACGCACTCGTCATTGTTGAGGTCGGTGACAGCAAGGCTGCTCCCAAAGTACGAGCCCACTTGTTCCCCCCGGATGGTGAGCACCGATTCAATGCCCTTGTCATTCTTTGTCCCAAACACCACAGAGCCCTTGGACTCATCCCTGGGAGACCCTGTCACTACTGTGTAGTCGTCATGGGTCAGCAGCTTCTTCTCTTCGAGAACTGAGTAACCTGTGGTAAAGAGCGTTAGAGATTCACTGTTAAACTGTCATCTGACCTTTGTGAAGGTAATACAGGCCTTTTTTCCAATATCATAATAAAATGTGATACACCTGACGTTCTCTAATGAAAACCATCTTTGCTTTTCTTTTGTTTTTATTCTCTTGTTATTCATACTGACAGCTAGGTTTTCATCCTGTTCCCCAGTGATCTTATAATTAATATGATGCAAAAACACAATGACTGTAATATTCACCCATATAACTGTATCGCTTTTTCAGCTGGCCAAAGTCTTTGCCTATCGAGTCCCAAGCGTTCAATGGATCCGGATCTCTCCATGTTACGTGAACATTTCCTTTATAACAAAGCAGAATCAGAAAACAGTGTTAAAATCTGCTTCACGCACAATGGACAGGTTTCCCAGACAGAGAATAATCCCAGAGTTAGACTAACACTAGCTATTCTTGGATGTGTTTAATCCCTGTCTGTGAAACCTGCCCATTATTTCAATGTTAAGTAACAAAAACCCTCCTTTCGGCATTAACTCCTCAGTGCCCACCTTGCCACACGTAGCTGCCTGTGGCGCCGATGTAGACATCAGTGTCTGTCATGCCGCCTGAGATGCCCATGTTGCACATGCCCTCGAGCTCCAAGTCAAAGCTAGGGTTGCAGACCTCGTAACTGTAAGTCTGCCAGTCATCGTTTGGGTCGTAGGTCAGATCGTTACTCCTTACATAGCACTTCCCTATCATCCGCCGCTGCTCCTCTGTGCCGCCTTGGATGATCTTCACATACCGATGCCCACATGCCTGGACACCAGAGAAGAGGGTGTATTCTAGGATGTTATGGACTGCACAGTCGTTCTAAGTTACAATGTGGCTAAGACAGAAAAAAATGTAAATTAAATGGCCATTAAATTAAATCAAAACCCCAAATAATTCCCTCATACGTAGGACAGCAATTATCACTTCTACAATAACAAAATTCAAGAAAGAAAACAGAAAGCAACTGAAACATTATATGATGTTAGCACCACGCTGCTATATAATACAAAATAAATAACTTCATTTAACTGTAGTCTGTGCTGTACTAACAAAAGCAAAAACATCTAATGAAAATAACACAATAAAGAGGAGGATGAAAAACATTCTTGACGATAAAGTCTGGCAGTACTGGAAATTAAATAAGTATCATATTCTAATGGTTAATTCACCAAAATGTACAGTATGTGTATATTAATAATTAAAAACATCAAAAGAAACATCAGTGTCAACAATTCATATCAAAAGGAACAAAAGAATCCCTCAGGAAAAACATAACCTCTTACTCATGATCACGAACATGACTCGGCATGGCATTTCCTACCTGCATTTGTTATGTCTTGTGTGTGTGATGAGCTGTGTGCCACTCATCTTTGACACAAGATAATTAAATACAAAAGAGTCTTATTTCCACCCTGCATCCCGTCGATGCTGCAGTGAGTGCAGCTGTATACTGTACACAGTACATCACCTGTGACACTGACTAATGGAGTAAAACAGGATGTCATCTCACCAGCACACGTCCCCCCGGCTGGTCCCTCTGACTGGCCACTGTCACGCCCAGCCACATGCCCTCCACCATCTCAGAAGGACTTGCTGTAGATGTGTCATAAGGGTCAGGGTCATGTACAGGGTTTAAAAGGTAACTATCAACATGGAACTACAGAGAAAAAAATACAGTTGAACATCCAGATTACTGAAATGTTTTGTCTTTTATTTAGAGAATAGTATCACCCCCATGTTTCTATTGTTATTTTAGAGTCACATTTTCACCAGTCAAACCAGTATACACTCCATATTCAACCATGTCCAGTCATCCATCATATATATATATATATATATATATATATGTAAAAAATCATCATGATTATGGGGATCACAGTCACAGGAAAACCAACCTAAACAGATCCGCCTGGCTCCTGCCCTGACAGATATTAACCTCAAAAATGTACTGTGACTGCAGCGCCCGTCACTCCAAGCTCAACATTAAAAGAGACGAGGAATCCTTTTATTATGGTTCTTACTTTTAGCCTCCGGCTCGCCGTATTCACCTTAAGGTAGAACAGCGGTAAGTCTATCAGTTAATAACCTTCAATTAAGAAAGGATGCGCTTTCAGAGTTTCATATCCTGAAGCTCGTCGTGTAGGTGCAGCAAATGATCCTGAATGCTACGGAACATGCCAGGGATCAGACCCTGAGACAGACACACGAGCTCTGTTCTCAGTGAATAAAGAGGAAGTTAGCTGATTTTCATGGTAGGTTATAATTTACTGAAAGGGAACTCAACAGTACCTGTATTTGTCAGAAGGAAACAGATTTTCACTCATAGGTTAGTTTCCTTTTGGGAATACACCTCAGAGTGTGAATACAGCTGTATAAATACCTTTTGTGGCTTTAAAGGAACCTTTCGCAAGTCAGAGAAAAATACCCCATAATATGTCCTCAGTTAACTTGCAACAAAGTTCTAACAAAAGCCTGCGTTAAAAACGAATGGCATTAAGTTTGAAATATGTGTTAAGCAGGCAATGGAAGTGGACATATTTCAAACTGGAATAACTCTGTTGATCCTTTAGCACAACCATCTTTTCATAAAGGTCATACTACAACAACAAATACCTACAAAACTAACGCAAAATAGCAAGTGTTAGCCCGCTAACATGCTACACTGCAATTGTGAAGAATGTAAATATTATAGGCTACCTACTAACCTACTGAACTTTAGTATGTCAGCATGCTAATGTTAGCATTTGGCTCAAAGCACCGCTGTGTTTGAAGGCAGCCTCACAAAGCTGCTAGCGTGGCTGTAGTATTATTATTTTTTACATCAATTCTCCTCTCACACTCTCCCTCATCTTGGATTCTGCTAAGGTGCAGAATGCAGTCAACTATACTGAAGCTTTACTGTGAACCTGTACAGAGAAACTCTTCCTCTGTTAAATACCAAAACAACTCATCACATCTGAGAGGTCTGCGCCATGCTTACTTGTGCTGACCAGGTCCATCCTGGTGCAGTCATTGGAGACTGTGGTAAGGGGACAGGAGTACACAGCACCTGTCTCATTGACATTTTGTAGAGATTGGGCTTTCTCCTTGGGTGCCCCTGCAAGAAGCCTGAACACACAAAGACAGACAGAAAGAGAGGGAGAGACAGATAAAGATTATTACCGCTAGATCATATCAGGGTCGTGCCATGGTGTTAGACAACACAGTGCAGAGACAGTATCAGCAACATAAAAAAGCTAGACGATCTCCCAGATAATCCTGCTAGTCTAAACACAGCAACAGAATCCTGCAGGTTCATATTCTAGTACATTCAATATGCACAACTTTTTTTTTTTTAATCCAGCATTTAACCGGAGGACATTTTTTTTAGGACACCTAAGTTAATGAGTGTATTAAACACACAGTACACATGACGTGGGAAGAGCGGAGCAGTCAGAGAATGACCCGTAACAAGTCTGGGCACCACACACACACAAAGACAGACACACAAACTAGCTTCTTGGTGATGGACCTGATCTTTTTGTCCACTCACCCAGACACTCCCTACATCAGCACCTTTTAACACACCACAAGAACTTTGAAGTAGAGGGATTACCCCCTCTGCAAGGCCCTGTGCTGGGACAACACTATTTACTGTCAGCATGAGATTTATTAGCTCCACTTTGTAGGCGGAAGGTGCAGACAGTCTTGTTTTCAGTGTGTGTGAGACGTGGCCTGCTGCACTATGCGGGAAGCGAAAGCAGACAGTAGTGTAGTGGTTTGCGTTGAGCACATTCAAACTTTCTGAAAAAAACCCTCAGACCTTTCTGGTTGAATGCCAACATGATACTGGCAGTGGTGGATAATAAAAAGTGCAAATTGGTGAGTCAAGGTGTTAGTCAAGCTTGTGAGTATATTAACTGCAACTGCGGGGTAGCTACCTTGATAAGCAAGAATAAATACAGATAATGGGTGCAGACTTAAAAGACCCCTCAACAGTACAGTCATTGTGCCTTCAAATCAAAATCATGAGTCAAGCCTGAATTGTTCCAACTTGAAGATGGATTATTTGTTTCTGAGTTGAGTCATGACGGAAGGACTCCGGAGGAACTTGAAAAATGTTGCATAGATTTTGTAAAATCTTGTTCATGGTGAGCTACTCGTGCTCAGAGGTTATCCTCAAGTTATGAGGTGAATTTTCATCCTAATGAGGTGGTGTGCCAGTCTCCACCGCTCCACCACTGCCTACTACTCATCATGAAAACATCTTAAGAGCCCAGACAAATATATTTTTGTTTTGATGCGTCACCTGAACATGAACAGACTGAAAGTTTGGTTTTGCATTGAAAACCACCTTGTGAGTTGGTTTCCTGCTGCTAATCTTAGATTGAATCACCTCATTACTGATTTGAAACTTAACCATATGGGTGATGATAAGATTTCTAATCCTGGTTCATCAGTAGTGGCATGAATTTTACTTTCATCTAGTCTCGTTACACCCAGGATGAAAAATAATTTGGACCAGAATTACATGAAAACGACGACATTACGTCCTCTGACTACAATATAATATCCCTAAACTTTACATTGAATATTTCCAACTGATGCATGAAAAACAGACATCCCCACGCCACGCCTGCGTCATTTGAAACAGGTACAATTATCCCTTCTTTCAGCTACCAGATGTGCATTATCAGCAATGAATCAATTATCTTGCCAGAGTGATGACAACCAGAAAGAGCCAAGATGGCCTCCGTGGGCCAGCGGTTTTCAGCTAGACTGGGAGGAAGTGGCCTCGGTTCAGGTAATCATTCATCAATGTAGACAGCATCTGAGATTCCACAGAGGTTTGTAGACGTTAGTAGGACCGGTAGATATGTGGAGAATCAGGGCCACGGAGTCCCACTGCGAGTGTGTGGAGGCCTACTCTGTAATCTATAGTGTGAGTGTACAATAAGCACATGAGCGGGTAGGTGTGTGTTTTCAGTTTACATGACTTGCCTTTCTTCTACTTCCATACACATTAAATCAGAAGTCATGGCCACCCAATGTGTTTCTCAGCTGTAAGCGGCACAGAGTGTCTCCAAACACCAACTTACAAGGTTAGCCGGTCTTGTGGGAGAAAACCAAGCAGCGCAAGAGAGAGCAGGAAAGAACAGGGTCAAACCAGAGGAAAAGCAAAACTCTTACAAAACACTTAGAGATCAGTTAGTGTGAACTTTGCTCACATTGAATAGAAATTAAGAGGAATTGGAGCCCAAAGTCCAGTGCTAATCACGCATGCTTCGGGAAGGCTTGGCCTTGGCTTCAGGAAGTGTTTTTCTGTAGCAAACCAGACAAAAGGATCGACCTCATAAACATACTCACCGTCGTCTTACTGTCTCAGCAGAGCTACGTGGGGCCACCTGTGTTTGTTGTGGAAATTCAACACTGCAGATTGATGCCACCAGGATTGACATACAGTGGACACACAGCTTTACAACTGAGCTGTGGCATTTTCAGCCAGAGTAAAGCTGGTGTTACAGTTTTATGGGAAACACTTCAACCGAGGGAATAGTTTGATTATTTTGGTAAATACACCTATGTGCTTTCTTTGCGGAGAGTTAGATGAGACGATTGATACAGTTCTCATGTCTGCACGCTAAATATGAAAGTGTAGGCAGCGGCCAGTCAGCTTAAAGGCAGGGGAAACAGCTAACATAAAGTCTCTTTGCTGCCATAATAACAGAATACCATTCTTTAAATTTGCAAAACATAGCCAGCTAGATCAAACGCTATCACTAGCCTGTCCTTCATTTCGCTGTCGTCAGTTGGAATCAGGAAAAAAACAAACTGTTTTTCAGATTTTTGGCCTCGGGTTCTTCAGTTTGGATTTGAAGGGATTTCTGTCTCAACCCATGCGTCAAAACGACCAAAACCTGAGTGACAAACAGTTGACTCAGCCATGACAGCACATCTAATTTCCTGTCCTGTTCCAAACGCAACAATGTGTGCTCTCCTCCTATGTACCTCCCTGCTCATCACCTCCTCATAAACATGCTGTCAAAGGCCCGGGGAAGGGAAGGGAAGGGGAGGGAAGAGGGGCTGCTACATTCCTCCTCTGAGGACATGTTGAAATTTGCCCCCTCTCCCTATGAAGTGATCCGAACGACTGGCTAAACCAAACATTTACTGTGGCAAACACACCCAGCCAAGGTGAGCGTGGCTGCATTCCTCTCTGAAGAAGGGAGTTAGGTGAACTGCTGCGTATCAGCGGTGTTTAAGCAGAGGTAAGCTCATCTGGTCATCTTAATCAGCGCCGACTGAGGGCAGAACACAGGAGAGGAGCGGGAGGAGGTATTAAAAAGGGAGTGAGCGGCAAAGGAAGAGGGCAAAAAAGGGTGATCGCTCCTTGTCAGGTAGATTCTCATCCTCTCACCTCCTACCTGACTATTTCTGAATAACCAAACTAAATTAAAGATAACTCAAAACCTTTTGTATGACATTTTCTCCTTCATCTCATAGGCTTTTTGTAAGACAACAAGAAGAGACAATAAGCAGGGCCAGTCAGTCACAGAAGACCATAGCGCAGTCTCATTCATCTTCATCTGGATCCAGTCTGAACACGATCATGATGACACGTAACTGGCACACAACCTCTCACCCTGCTGGCTCTTCCCTGTGTAAATACTCATGAAAGGGAAAGTGAGTGGGTGACAAAGAGGCCGAGATGGAAGAAGGAAATTGGAGTAAGATTAAGAGCAAAAGCAGGAACTTAATGCTTCTACCTTCGCTCCAAGTGTGCATTTATGTACTTGTATACTTTTGCAGTATGTAGCTGTGAGTGTGTATGAGTAAGTTAGCCGTACACACGAGATTGATCATCCGTCCAGATACAGCTTAGGGCAACCTGTTTGTCACAGGGTGCGGCTGTGGCCCCCAGGGCAGAGAAAAAGAATCTAACCTCAGCCTGTGTTTCACTATCAGAAAGGCAACTCCTTTACCTCTGGGAAAGATATGCAATATAAACAACACATGATGTAAGAAGTCACAGTTAGTCAGATTACTCTATATTACAGTAGTTACAATTTTTTCTATCTTTCTACCAGTGTCACTCCCCGTATAATACAGTATGGAGAAGTAGACAAATACTGCGGGCGATGATATGGTAAATCGAGCCACATCCTCAGGATGTGGATTCTTAACAACACAACGAACACAGTTATCTGATCCAGTCACGATGCTGCTCTGATGCATCATGTAGGGCAGCCCCAGGTCTACCTCCTGTGCAATTAAAAATGTGATGCTTCAGGCTGCTTTTGTCAGACCCACTGGAAACAAGTAGACACACGCAGCTGTTGCCCCTGGTAACGAGGTGTTGTTGTATAAGGATGGGGATGGACAGTTCTGAGGAGTTTCAGTGATGTGAATGGGAGACGGAAGTTTTAACTGTTGTATGGTTTTTTTCTGGCAATGCATGAACTCTCTGCACACGAGACGGTTTGTCATTTTGCCAAACGTTGTTGCTGCTTGTGAAAGATTTGATTCAGGCCCTCGAGTGCGTGTTCACAGTTTGATAACATACAGATGGAGCCCACGCTGGCCTCTAAATGAGAGCACACAGACCTGAAAAAGGGGAAGGTCTTTATACTGTATATACAAGCAGTTTGAGTGACAAATATTTGTGAGAAATAGACCTTAGCCATTACTTTATCTTACTGGTATTGGTTATTTTCTGTGTAATTAGATACGGCTGCTTGTTGAAGAATATAAGTGGAATAAACAAGCAGAATAAGAATAAAAGTGGTTTTCCTCTCATTGCAGCAGATACAGGTAAGGAACAGACACATAAACACTATTAATCCTCACCCTTAATCCTTAATCCATTTCACACACAGATATACAGACGCACTCACCTACACTGTATCCTCAGTATTTTTCAGAACGGTATAAAGCTATTGCACTAAAAGCAACTCATTTTGATTCCGGGGAAACATTGCCACTTAGACCCACTAAGTAAATAAATGGAGATAATATTGAATGGAGTGACTCAATTTGAAGATTGAATTAAGCATGAGAACAAGAGGAGACCAGGGCTGCGATCTCTTTATGCTCTAGTGACGGTGTAATGACTTTACTGAAGGATGAGA